TATAATAAGCGGATTTTTTCATACGCACGGCTGGCTGCGGAAATAATACATATGGTTACGTATACGTTTAATCTACTGATAGCTTTGCTAAGATTCGGATTTTGTTTTTTTACAGTTTAGACTAGCAGTTTGATAAAAACTGAAACAAAAAATTTGATAAACGACAAACTAATGGTAAAAAATCTTTACAAAAGTAAAATTTCAAAAACTAAGGATTGAAAAAAAATACAAAGTATGATTAAAAAAAAAAACAAATTAAAATAAAACCACTCTTAGGGAATACATAAAATTAATGTTCTCAAATGATACAGCTTGCGGTTTTGAGCCACATTCCAAAGAGGATAGTATTTTTACTGAGGAAACAAAGAGAATGGAAGACATTAGCGTAAAGAGAAAAAACAAGAGAGTCAGCGCGAGTGTGTAATGTGTGTGAGAAAATGCAGCATGCAAGTATTTTGGTCCAGATTATTATAATATTGTTGATGTCCCATCCCTTCGCGTGCAAGCTTTTTCCGATGCTCTAACCAATTTAAAATATAATAAATTTTAATTTCACCTCGTTGTTTCTGATAGTTGACGTGACGCAAACTCGTTTGTACTCGTCAGTTTTATTAATTTTTAAATCCAGTCTTAACACATTATTTTAATGGATTATTAATATTATTATTGAGTTAATATCAAGTATTAATAAAGTGGTTGGTGTTATTATTTTGCAAACTTGTTTCGTGTGTACGTGTTTTTCCTTTTATTTTCGAGTTGATGTGAAGGTCTGTGTGTACGTATCAAATGATATTATCTATATGACTTGTAGTTTTTGTGTTTTTGTTTCTGATGTATATTCTATACACATGAATCTCTTCTCGTACTGCAATGCAAGCGAGCAAATTTATCCTTTCCTATCGCAAAATATTATAAAATCTTGTGATGCATCGGAATACAGTGCCGAACCAGAGTAAGAGGATTAAGGATGCAAGAAAGAAAAAACGATGTTAGAAAAAAAAAAAAGAAAAAAAAAGAGTATGAGACAGAAGAAAGAGACAGAAAAGAGAGAAAGAGAAAGACAGAGAGAATGCATTACCGCAATGCTAGCCCGAGGTTGTGTGGCCTTAATGTGGGCTTGAAGGTGCAGAGGGGGGTGGAAATAGCGGCAGGGGTCCCGATTGCATCGGCCCTTGACAGCGTCCATGCAGACCGTCACAGAGCCGTCCTCGTTCGCCTGCACCGTCTCGAGGGGGTGCGCAAACCGGCACTCCGATTCGCCGCGTTTGCACGCCCCGCGTTGAAACTCGCGACATACCTACAGCAAGAGCGAACACGCATGGCATGGGCACTAAGATCTATAGGGAGCAGTATATTTTTTACAAAAAAAAAAAAAAAAAAAGTAATAATTTAGCTTTTCTTTTTTTTTCTTCTTTCTTTTACTTTTACTATTACTCTTTCTCTTTTGATTTTTTTTTTTTTTTTTTTTTTTTTACTTTAAATGTTCTAATAGCCTAGAGTAGAACAGCTAAGGTAAAAAACAAATGCAGATGATCAACTATCTATATATTTTATGTACATTGGTGTTGTCAATGTTGTTCTATACTTTTTCATTGTTGGTCTTGCATTTAACAACTTCGGCTGCACCAAGAAAGAAAAACAATGCATTTGACAGAGCATCCGATGACAAACACAAAAAAACACGCGAACAGAAAATATACAGTGCACGTGATGCGGAACAGAAGCACATGATGTAAGGGGGAACAAAACGCGTACACGGAGACATTTTAACGATCACCGGTAAAAAAAACAACGGATGGGCTCGCTTTCGCGGATTTGCACGAAAAATTCACATTGAACGATTCGTAAGCAAGAAGAGGCCGATATATTTACCTTGAGAATCCCCCACAAGGAGCCAAGATTCAATCGACATTCATCGTCTCGCAGCACTTGATATTCTTGACGCAAGAAAGCAAGCACGCCGTCAAACACACGTTTTCCCGTCTCGGTGCAGACCGGCTATATTGAGTATATGTATGCAACGTAATACACAGTTGTCAAATGTATGTACTGAACACAGCTGAAATGACGTGGACAAGGAGCGTACAGGGTTGAAATGACGTGATGGTGACAGAGACAAAGAGATATATGTATATATATCTTACTGAGAACAAAAAAAGGAGCGGAAACGTGACATAGACGCGACGTGCACGCCATCACGAGATCGTTATTAGCCCAACGCATCTCCCTCCAGGCGTATACGCACACCCTGATGTTAACTCATGTATGTTGCAGGCTGACCAGTCAATTTCGCAGACACGGTATTGGAGTCCTGGTACATATATAGCATGTACCGATACCCACCATAGGTGGCACGAAGGAGGGAGATCCGGCTAATGTTATGCATTAATCTCGCGGTGGAGCGGCGCATCCGCGTCGGTTTTAGAACTATATAGTACAGATAGACGGAGGGAGAGGGAGAGGGAGAGAGTGTATTAGCGGCCAAATATCTCGCACCGCAACATTGGCACGTACAGTGAAACAGGCAAGTTTACGCCGTACTCGACTTGTTCTCAAAGTTTGTACATGGTTTGCGGAAGGTGGATGAGCAAAGGAAGGAATGTGGGGTTGTGAACACGATTTAATTTAGGGCACGAAAAATGTAAAAGAGTTAACCGAGACAATTTCGAAAACCACGTGATTATTCGATGAAACGCGAATTGAAGGAATAATGCACGAGAGCCGAGGGCATCATCCATAAAGCCCATTGACAAACATTCAGAGACCCTCGGAGCCCGCAGTCATCGGAACTCGCTAGTTAGAGTTGACCAGAGTACACGAGCGCGGTGCTATTCCCAAGACGCGGCGTCGAAGGGCCAATGGGATCCTTCGTCTCCCGGCGCGCGTGTGTATCCCCAATTACGCAAAGTCTATGCCGGATGATTGGAGTTGCAAAGGGATGGCGATATCATACATGTACAAACAGAGAGTAGCAGCCCGAAATAGAGATAGTTTGGGCACTAGTTTACAAGGTAAACGTATCGTGGAACTGCTTTGCTCGGAAGGGTTTAAGGAATTTTTTTTTTTCTTTTTTTTTCGTCTTCTAGTTTGTGCTTACATGGTAGTGGGGTTTGTTATTGTATACAGTTACATGGGAGTGAAGGAGCCGAGGGTGTTACAGAGTGTGAGAACAGACAAGCAGAAAAGGTAAGGAGGCTCCCGTTCCTCCCCGAGCCTTTGAGGAACGCGTTAGCACTTTGGTATTAATAGTTTACAACATTTATCACAGAATGGTTATGCGCATCGAGGGTTAGGTTGCAACATTGTATCCTTACGCTTTGTTGTTAGAAGAAAAAAAAAAAAAAAATGAAAAAAATGAAGATACATTTCTGCCATAGCGCACACAATTACGTATATTACTTGAGAAGCTGTACAAAATATCGCAGTACTGCTGTGTGTTTATACCTTTTTTTTTTGTTTGCTTTTTCACTTCGTTGCTTTTTTTTCTACTATATAAAATTTAGCACGGCAAGGCTTTGGTTAGTACTGTAGCGAGAGTTAGAGAATACACACAGAATTCACATATGCTCGAATATTACACACACGTACACAGGCGAAATCGGCAAGGTTATATAGTCGGTCATTGAATGTGTATACATAGGGCAATGTACGGAGCAGATTTTTACAAAAAAAAAAAAAAAAAAAATTCAAATTCGAGAGATATAAACAGCCTCTTTTTACGTAAGCGTTTTAACAAAGAGAGTCGTGGATACATTGACAGAAGAGCTTTTACGTAGATATAATAAGCGGATTTTTTCATACGCACGGCTGGCTGCGGAAATAATACATATGGTTACGTATACGTTTAATCTACTGATAGCTTTGCTAAGATTCGGATTTTGTTTTTTTACAGTTTAGACTAGCAGTTTGATAAAAACTGAAACAAAAAATTTGATAAACGACAAACTAATGGTAAAAAATCTTTACAAAAGTAAAATTTCAAAAACTAAGGATTGAAAAAAAATACAAAGTATGATTAAAAAAAAAAACAAATTAAAATAAAACCACTCTTAGGGAATACATAAAATTAATGTTCTCAAATGATACAGCTTGCGGTTTTGAGCCACATTCCAAAGAGGATAGTATTTTTACTGAGGAAACAAAGAGAATGGAAGACATTAGCGTAAAGAGAAAAAACAAGAGAGTCAGCGCGAGTGTGTAATGTGTGTGAGAAAATGCAGCATGCAAGTATTTTGGTCCAGATTATTATAATATTGTTGATGTCCCATCCCTTCGCGTGCAAGCTTTTTCCGATGCTCTAACCAATTTAAAATATAATAAATTTTAATTTCACCTCGTTGTTTCTGATAGTTGACGTGACGCAAACTCGTTTGTACTCGTCAGTTTTATTAATTTTTAAATCCAGTCTTAACACATTATTTTAATGGATTATTAATATTATTATTGAGTTAATATCAAGTATTAATAAAGTGGTTGGTGTTATTATTTTGCAAACTTGTTTCGTGTGTACGTGTTTTTCCTTTTATTTTCGAGTTGATGTGAAGGTCTGTGTGTACGTATCAAATGATATTATCTATATGACTTGTAGTTTTTGTGTTTTTGTTTCTGATGTATATTCTATACACATGAATCTCTTCTCGTACTGCAATGCAAGCGAGCAAATTTATCCTTTCCTATCGCAACAGTATCATCTACTTTTCATTTTTTTTTTTTTCTTTTTGATTTATCATTAAATCCACATCCTAATCTGTCCTATACATGTTTGGACATACAAAATGTAAACAAAAGAAACAAAAATAAATTTAGAGAAGCGAGAATGAAATTTGTAAAAAATCAGCTAAAACTAAATGATTTTTTAACATTTTAACAGAGTTTTTTATCCCATAAAGTTGTGTACAACATCGATAAGACATTCAAGCAGTTTAGAAAGTGATAAATTTATGGGATATTTTCATGTTAAGTGTTGTGGTAAATTATATTGTTACATAAAAGTATCACCTTCGAGAATCCTCGACACAATAGATTCACAAATACGTTCAAAACATGACCTCATTAATTCTAAGATTACAAAGACAATTACTAAAAATAAAAATGATAAAAAAAAAAAAAAAAACGAATACGAATGACATACAAAAACAATGATCAACGAGGGTGCAATTTTACGTGTCGTCTTGTCCACTGTCCGTGTAATGTACACTTTTATTCTTTGTTTTTGTGTCACGTTAGTGTAAGTTACTTGTGTAAGCGATGCAAACATTAGATTAGGTATTCATTATACTCAATTCTCATCAACTTGATTTGTAAGAGGATGAACAAAAACATTTTAAAGCTAATTAAGCTCAAAATAAGGCTAGTCATATTTGCATTCGATCACACAAGCAAGAATTTAGTGTTGGTAAATATATATATTTAGTATGCATGTAAGTATATTAATATTTATACATCTATTACAAAAAAATAAGAAATATGTACAAATACATGTGAAAATTCTCATGCGCTTGCTCAAAGCCCCATCTCCTATGGCTGTAAAAATAATCACATTGTTACTTTTGTCAAAAAAAAAAAAAAAGAAGGAAAATTAATTCAAATTAGTGAGTAAATTACATGTACTAAAATTTAAATAAATCATAGAAACAAAACAGCTGCTCATGCACGAAAAGGCAGTACTGCTACTCTGCAAAAATCAATAGCACACAACATTTAAGATAATAATTACAATAGCGTAAATAAATAAACTTGTGGTTAATAACCAATTTTTATTTTTTATTTTCACGTTCAACGATTTTTGCCTTCATACTAGCTTTTCGCGCGCAACTTGCAAGCTTATTAATAGCTGTAAATTAATCAGAACAATCGTCAGCGTTTATTATTTGTCATCTGCACGTTCGCAAAACGGAAAGGTGGCAAAAAGACAGACAGATAGAAAGAGTCAGTTAGTTCTCTCTCTTGAATAACTGACGCATCAAACGAGAAAGTACTACAGGAAGTAAGTTAAGGGTTATTTGATCAGTGTTAAGAAAGAGAGAGATAGAAAGGCCAAGAAGTTGGAGCTTCAAGGAGGAAGAAGTTGGTTTGGATGATTCGGGAGGTATATACTTTTTGCGAACGACCAAGTTTTCGTTGTTCTTTTCTTTTTGCTTCACCTCCGTCTACTTTTTTAATCGTTTCAAAGCAAAAGATTTAAGAAGGATGTAGCGCAGTTTATTCTCTTCTTTAATTAATTATAATCATATCGACACAAAGACAAGTTAAGCAAATTATAATTAATATTGACGTTATGAAAAAAAAAGAAAAAAA